TTAGTGATTGACTGAAATAACTTTTACCAACGTCCCTCTTACAAATCTTTTTGTACATCAGTACCTCTGTTGAAAAGAGATATATCCCTGTGTGGAGTGTTTTAAATAGAGTATTCCTGTGTTGCATCAGATTAATATATACAACATACTATAAGTGTGGCCTGGAGTGTGTATACTGTACAGACATGTTTTATTTATAGATGTTTTTGTGACCTAGAACTGTGAGCCTTGTAAGGAAACTCATTCTGGCAGATAATCACAACATCAGGACATAAGCAAAACCATACTTGTTTCTTCATGGGGGCAAAGGGGTGGGGGTGGAATGAAAAAATGTACCTCTCATATGGGTGGGAAACGTATAGCTGAGCTGTCGGTTGCAGTGATCTATAAATCAGACAACTAAATAACATTCTGCAGCTAAGGAATTTCAGATTTTTTGAAAATAAGATGGGTTATATTGTGCAAGTATGCTAGGGATGTGCACTAGCACCAAAATTCAGATTTGAAATTTGGAATTCAGAATTTTTTGATTTGGAAGTCAGAAGTTTTAAAAATTCAGGATTTCTAGGTATCTGGAACTCTGTTACAGTCAATATGAATACTGTATAGTCATTATTCTTCCCTTTAAAAAAACACAAACTGGCAAAACATTTTAAGGGCTTTCCCTGTGTCCTCTGACACCTTCCAAGTGATTGTGCCAAATAAAAAGAGTGCACACTTTTTTTTAACCTAGGCTTTAGGAAATGGCAGTAATGGGTTGTACTTTGGGCAGTGGGATTGCCAGCAGCAAATGCAGCGGCACTGGGCTAGCAGAGGACAGGTCATACTGGAGAGTGAGCAAATATCCTGGACAGCACTGGCAGGCAGACTGAAGCAGCAGGTAACCTGTGCTGGGTGGGAATTGTGCCAATAGCAGGGGACACAGCATACTTGAGTGAGTGAACTTGCCGTTGGTATCAGGTATGCCACGCTTTCATTTTTTTTCACCTACTGCTCCAAGCATAGTAAGTCAACACTAGAACATAGAATCATAGAATAATGGAAGGGGCCTGTAAGGTCATCAAATCCAACCCACTGCTCAGTGCGGGAGTTCAAATCAAAGCCGCCCAGAGTGGTAGAATATACCAGATGGGCGGGCTATAAATAAATAAATAAATAAATAAATAAATAAATAAATAAATAAATAAATAAATAAATAAAGTATATCTGACAGATGATGGTCTAATTTTCTCTTGAATACCTCCAGCACTGGAGAAATCACCACTTCCCAAGGTAATTGGTTCTATTGTTGTACTACTCTAACAGTTGTTTTTCCTGATATTCAACTGAAATCTGGCTTCCTGTAACTGGAGCCTATTATTATGTGTCCTATATTCTGGGAGGACTGAGACAGATCCCGCCCCTCCTCTGTATGGCAATATTCCAAGTATTTGAAGAATGCTAACATATCTCCCAGCTCGCTGGATAGCTCAATGGTTTAGGTATATGACTGCAGAGGCAGAGGTTGGGAGCTCAGTCATACAATGTGCCTACTGTGCATAGAGTGAGCTAGTGTGGTTTTGGGCAAGCTGCACAATCCCTGGGGTGGGGTGGGGGCAGAAGAAGGGGATGGTAAATGACTTCTGAGTATTCTCTGCCTGAAAAACCTGAAAGGGTCACCCTAAATCAGAAGGAACTTGATGCCACATGATTATAATCCTGCCAAAGACAATTATGAGTCTCTGGTGGAAAATGAGTGTTGTTATTGCTATACAGTGGTGCCTCGCTAGACGATGATAATCTGTTCCACTGAAATTGCTGTTTAGCGAAATCATTGTCTAGCGAAAAGCATTTCCCCATTGGAATGCAATGAAACCTGTTTAATGCGTTCCAGTGTATTATTATTATTATTATTATTATTATTATTATTATTATTATATCTCCCCCCAGTCTTCTATTCTCAAGGCTAACCATGCCTAGTTCTTTCATTCTTTTCCTCATAGGGTTTGGTTTCCAGTCCCCCAATCAGTCTTGTTGCCTTTCTCTGAATTTATTCCAGTTTGTCAGAATCCTCCTTAAAATGTGGTGTTCAGAACTATGCAGAGTTTTAGAAGCCAGAGTAGCCCAGCATATGGACTATGCCGATGGAACCACATTGTGATCAGAAGTACAGCTCCTCAAATAAAGAAAGGCATCTTGGAGGGAGGAAGAACTCTAAAACAATTTTTAAGGCCAAACCACCCTGTGCAGTTCCTTCAGACACAGGTTTATTTTATCTTACCAAACAGAAATCAGGGATCCCACAGTGAGAGCTAGAACAGTTTCAGGAGGATATGAAAGATGACAAATATTGGGCAGGAAAAAGGACTGAGCGCCTTTTTTGGTCACCATTTCTTTGTTTTAAACATTTCCTCCATTATAATCTCCACTAAGACTACTTTTCTGTTCAGAAAAGTTACATGGGGCTTTGTTAGAAATCTTTTCAATAGAATGTATAATTGACCCAGAAATAAACTCAACCTTATTTCTCAGCAGATTAATTTCTCCTTCAACTGAGGGAAACAAAATGTCTTAGCTCAAGGAAACATCTTAGTTCACTGAAAACGAGATGTGACATTAGAGCCCTAAATTCAACAACAAGCAGTCTCCCTTTTAAGACAGAACTTTTAGGCTCTCATTTTGCTTTAGCGGTCTCTAATACATTGGACATGTCTTGCATGAAACCCTGCTGGACGATGTAATTAAGTGGCTTTCAGTTCTAATCATAGCTTAGCTCTGACTTCCAATTTCGGTAGATTATGCAAGGACAGACACAATGAGTACACCAATCAGGCAGATGCTGAGTGGTTTTTAAAAAACTTCATTTATTGATTTATGCACGATTTCCCATCATGCTTTACTGGGGTGAGGAGAAACTGTACTGTTGGTTTATGGTATGAGGAACAGAAGCCAAAATGACTCATTTAACCAGAGTGATGAAGTCTGACTTTTAAATTCAAGGTTTCCATTAGCAACAAAGGTTCTTGTGGTATCTTAAAGGACAAGCAAGTTTTAGTTGACATAAGATTTTTGAGGACCACAGTCCATTTCATCAGGTGCATGGAAGGAGGCCTTAGTAAGTAGGCATTTATATACAAAGGTGTGTGTGTGTGTGGAAGAAAGAGAAATGTGCCAGATTGGGAATTGTCTTAATAGTTATTGTTAAGAATCTTTCAAGAGCCAGCAGTGGGTGGCAAGCACAGCTGTAAAAATAATTCCACCGTTTGTAAACATGGCATGAAAGGAATATGGCACATGTTCAAATATCCAGGGTTTTCAGGACATGAGACTATTTGGAGTGGAGGTAGATTTGGGCAGATTCAATTGGCAGACATACAAATCAGAGCTGGATTCAGGGCATGTAACAGGAAAGACAAAAGAGTCATACAATGGAAAGATCAAGGTAGTGAAGAGGAGAAGCTAATGAACAAACCGTAATCAGTCACATTTGGGGACACAAAGCCCAGAATGAGGTGCAGACAATGGACTTTAACTAGCAGTTCCTGATTTGTCCAAGCTTTCTGAAATGTACAGCATATATCGTCTCAGATTGTTGGCTCTTCTGCCTGGATCTTAAGTATGGAGGGCTTTTTAAAAAAATAATGCATTAATCATTACAAAACTGGCTGAAGCAAGTTGTTACTGTCCATTTCTGAAAAGAGTTTAGTGGCCCATTGTAATAATTACTGCATTACTCATTACATATGAATTACTTTGTGTTCCTTTTTTGAAAATTGCATCTTAAAAAAAGGTAAGGAAATGAACTTACGTTTTAAAAATGTCTCAAAAATGCCACCTCAAATAATTATTACTTTCCCCAAAGTAATGAGAAAAATAATAACGAATAAATGATATTCCCTGTCATTACTTATTATTGTAGTGAAAGGAACTACTATGTTTTCTCCTCATTGTTTCCAAAATAATTAATTCCAGGTACCACCCGGTATCTTCTGATACCAAAGTCTGTGCTGTTGTTCTGCATGTGTGAATAGGAATGGGATTTTCAGATTTTTGGAGTACAAATCTCATAATTATCCTCTCTGGGAATTCTACTTGAAGGACATCTTACAAACACCTACATGTTGCTCACCTGGGACAAAGGCCTTAAATGGAAGATTTTGAGGCCTAGCTTCCTGTTCAGAAAGAAAGCAACCAGTTAGCACTGAGGCAGGAACAGGAAGCTTGAGCAGAGGCTCCCAGTTGATGCCTTTCTCCCAGGTGAGTCACATGTTGGTGTCCATCTGTCAAATATAGTGGGGAAAAAAAATCTTAAAATCCATCCAGATGTGTGAAATCACAGAACATTAAAAGTTGCTTGGGTTTTCTGCGTTTACTGTGTCAGAAACTAACAACTCTGAGTACTTGACTGTTGCTTTTTTGACAATATGCACCCATGTGTCCCCCCCCCCGACTTAGAAATTTTGGCAATGCAAAAAACAGAAACCAAAGAAACATGATATTCAGATCTACTAAATGTAGACTAAATGAAGAAAATCCATCAGTTTACCCGTGTCCTGTAATCAGGATAAGGACTGATGATAATTTTCTTTCATGAATGGGCAAGTAAACAGTAATTCTGCATTCCAGTTATCTTTGATGATGATTTGTTTATGTATACATTTTAAGCCAAATTATTCTCCCCCTTTCCATCTACATATCCAGGAATCAAGGAATTGACTAAATATTTTTCAAGGCTACAAACAGAGGTATTTGCTTTTTCCATTAATTCTTTTACTGCTCAGACTGACACATGGATGAAATATGATGTCCAAGAAAGTCAGCAACTTCAGGAATGCCATTGTTTTCATTTGTCATTTTTGACATTTGAATTGGCTACTAGAGATAAGGCAAAAGTTGATCTAAGCATCACACTAAAGCTTTGGTTCAGAGGGTGACTTTGCTGGCTTGTTGAGAGTGCTGCCATTTTAAATTCAAACCATAATGCTGTTGAGCACTAATCTCCCTGGTTCTTGTTTTTCTAGCAGTGCCAGCAAGAGAGCAGTCGGCAGAATAATGCAAAACAATGCATAAATGTGGCAGTAACTTGAAGATGAGATGGCTGGACAGTGTCTGCGACCATAATGCTGTTGAGCATAATGCTGTTGAGCATCCCTGGTTCTTGTTTCTCTAGCAGTGCCAGCAAGAGAGCAGTCGGTAGAATAATGCAAAACAATGCATAAATGAGGCAGTAACTTGAAGGTATCTCAGCCTATTGTTTCTATATATTTCCTTTCCACACGACATAATTAACTTATGGAATTCACTGCTGCAAGGTGCGCTGATGATCAGTACTTTTAATGGGTTTAAGAAGGAATGTGACAAATTCATGAAGGATATGTATGTAAGGGCTTGCCTACACAGGCTCATTTGGAGTGGGCTGGTGTGGGCTAAATAGGGGCACTTAAGGTCAGGTGGAAGTCTGGGAGGCCATTTGGTGCAATGTGGAGCCAGAGGTTGGGAGTTCAATTCCCCACTGTGCCATCATGACAGGGGCTGGACTTGATGATCCAAAGGGTCCCTCCCAACTCTGCAGTTCTAAGATTATTATAATAGTTTTGACTCTGCAATTAATGAGACAACAGGAAAATCTGATGTACTATTTCAGAGCATTTGAAATGAATTTTTGAATGAATGCTGATATAATCCATTAGTTTAGTGTCAAATGCAGTAGAAGCAAAGTGCTATCTCTCTCTCTCTCCATCTGATGGATTTTTATATTTTTATTTTAAAACAGAATGAGAAACATATGGTCCATGAGTCACATGTAGCTTTTAACCTGTCCTCCCAAGATAATTCCCTATAGACAAAAAGTAATTATTTCCCTATATGAAATTCTTGAGATTTTGCTATAAGAAAAGGGGCAATGAACCAAGAGGACTGTAGTTGTGCTTTGGATTTTGGGAAACGCAAAAGGCCAGCATTAATTTATCTGTTTAGATAGATCCATGAGATATCCAAATTGAAGTGTGCTTCACTACTCAGTGTTTGGGGGGAAAATGAGTATCCATGTACTATGTCTAAGACAGTTGTAAGAATGACAAATGAAAAACAATGTGAGTCAGACATGAGTGATCTGCTGCATTGACTGGGAAAAAGAATTTTAAAATTGCAAATATTGCTCTTTTTAAAAAAAAATCTGCCACCTATGAGGGGGTGCTGATAAGCATTGAGGCTTTCCCAGAAAAAAAAAATTGAGCCAGGAAGCTATACATTGCAGGGTGTATTGGCCAATTTGTCTGCATTTAATAGTGCAAAAATCAACTACCTATGATTTTAACTTATCTTTCATGCTCAGATCCAAAGTGAACATGGCAGCACCTCCAGAAAAGTTCAATGTGGAAGAGCATAGGACCATAATCAAGTTCCTGTTTCTCCAAGGGAAAGGTGCAAATGAGTGGTTACACCAGCAGTTGGAAGAATTTTATTTGCAGGGACTTAAGATGATGGCGCTGTGGGTTAAACCGCAGAAGCCTCTGTGCTACGAGGTCAGAAGACCAGCAGTCATAAGATCGAATCCACGTGACGGAGTGAGCTCCTGTCACTTGTCCCAGCTCCTGCCAACCTTTCAGTTCGAAAGCATGCAAATGCAAGTAGATAAATAAGTACCACCTGGGTGGGAAGGTAGCGGCGTTCTGTGTCTCTTCGCGCTGGCCACATGACCACGGAAATTGTTTACAGACAAACCCTGGCTCTATGGCTTGAAGATGGGGATTAGCACCGCCCTGTAGAGTCGGACACAACTGGACTAAATGTCAAGAGGAACCTTAATCTTTACCTTTAAGAAGCTGCAGGACAGATGTCGTAAGTGCATTGACTTCCTGGGGGAATATGTAGAATAGTGTGGCAGTTACAGCTTCCTAACTCAATTTTTTTCTGGGAAAGAATCAGTATTTATCAGCAGCCCCTCATAGTTCTCTCCAATTGGCAATGGCCAAAATCAGCATGTCCAGTACAGCTAGTCCCTGTATGATGGTAGTGGTGGTGGGATGTAGTTTATGGAGCACTGTAACATTTTATACAAATAATTAACACAGTCCCCTTTTCTCTGCAAGATTTGAGTTCCTATATGAATTCAAAGTGAGCCTTAAGTTTTATGTGGTGAAACAAAAATGTAGATAAAACAATCACCATCTGTTCTGATGTCTTTTTAAAAACAGAAACTTGCTCTATATGCACTTCTCTAATGATTACAGCATCATTAGAGAAAAGAATCAGAGCATTCTGACTTTATACAGGGTTCAGAAATGGGACGCCATTTCTGAAATTCTACCTCAGATGTTTTGCACGTGAAATATTCTACTAACTAAGAATTGATGCCTTTGAATTGTGGTGCACTGTTTCTGAAATTCTACCTCAGATATTTTGCATGTGAAATATTCTACTTTTGAGAATCCCCTGGACTGCAAGGAGAACAAACCTATCAATTTTAAAGGAAATCAACCCTGAGTGCTCACTGGAAGGACAGATCCTGAAGCTGAGGCTCCAGTACTTTGGCCATCTCATGAGAAGAGAAGACTCCTTGGAAAAAACCTTGATGTTAGGAAAGTGCGACGGCAAGAGGAGAAGGGGATGACCGAGGATGAGATGGCTGGACAGTGTCTGCAAAGCTACCAACATGAATTTGACACAACTCCGGAGGCAGTGGAAGACAGGAGGGCCTGGCGTGCTCTGGTCCATAGGGTCACGAAGAGTCGGACACGACTAAACGACTAAACGAAACGAAAATTTTTTTGATGTTAAATGAAAGCAGCCATGTTGGCTGACGAATTCTGGAATCTGTACGCCAATAAAGTAACTTTTCCAAGCTGATATATCTACTATCTTCTTCTCTGATTTTACTGGTTTCTAGATCCTCATAACCCCATTTTGTATGCTAAATGTGAAGAAGCAAATTCCTGCTTGCCTAGAATCCTGCAATATGTGAAATCAGTCTCTATGTGCCCATTAATAATAATAATTGTGTGCCATCAAGTAAATTCTTAGGGCAACCCTTTCCAGGGTTTTCTAGGTAGAGAATGAACTTAAGTAGCTTACTATTCCCTTTTTCTGGAAGTGTCCTGGGACTATGCAGCTTGCCTATGACTACACAGGCTGGCTCTTCTCTCTGGAGGCACAGTGGGGAATTGAACTCCCAACCTCTGGCTCTGTAGCCAGGTACCTAAACCATTTAGCTGTCCAAGGAGCTTTGTTTCCATTTAGGCATCTCTAGCTTCTGGCTGAGCTTTGTTCAGTTTTAGTATCATTTTCCTTAATTGGCTGGAAATATAGCTGTATAAAAGCCAGTTGCTTAGCTTGCTTCTTTGTTCCAAGTTCCAACCATTAACAATAACAACAAAAAGCAGACTTAAAAACATCAGCAATACCAGTCCATTGCACTATTCTATGCATGCATACAGCTAAACATTTGCAGCAGAAACTAGTAGCAATATAAATTATTTTTCTCTGCTTGCCCTGACAATTCAATTTGAGGAGGCCATCCTTCTCCTCCTCTTCTTGTTTGTACTGAAACCATGGATGGATGAAAACTTTGGTTCGGCCTATTTTTTATTTTATATATATAATAAATTCCAGAATTTCCTTCATATTTAGCAGGTGGGAAAATATTATAAGCAAAACAAAATATTGAATGTGAGAGAAAGTAATGTAGACACTTCTGTCTATCCACACCCATTAGTATGAACACTTAACTTTTACAAGTCTGGGCTTGGTGCTGAATTTCAATTGATACCTTTTTTCTGAGATGCTCCTTAGCATTAATACTAATGTGGCAGATGCAACAGGATCCCACACTACCGTGTAGGGACTAGCTTTACTGTCCATGCTGAATTTGGCCGGTGCCAATAGAAGAAAACTGGGTTGGAGATCTTTTTTTTAAAATGAGCAATATTTGCAAATATATTCATATTCTCAATGGAGAGCACTTGAATTTTATATAATTCAACAGGAAGGGGAAAGAAACTGTAATATTTTCCCACTTCCCTGATTGAAACTGACTTTTTCCTCTATGCTTCAGTATCAGGAAGATGTTTGTTTGTTCAAGTAGCTCCTGTAGTACTGGATGGAAACATGGCTTGCTCTGGGCTTCCATGAGGGATGTACAAGCAGCCAGGAAAGATTTCAGAAGGAAGTCTTAACAACTGTTTGTTGCTTATATCTTTATATATTCTTCCATGCCTTTTCTTTGGAGAATCTCTGGATATACTGTGGATTGCCTTGATGACAGTGGAGGAGGGATGACTGGAAGTTTCTACCATCATAATAAGGAGGACTGGAAGATGATGGACCCCCCACTGTCTTGCTTGTGAACAGCTGCTGTTTGCCTAGGCAAGCCACAATACCTCCAGAGAAATGGTAGAAAAAAGACACAGAAAGGGATCTAATGATGCAGGCAACAAACAGTTGCTAAAACTTTCCCCAGTAATATTTTATTTATTATTATTCATTTTTAAAATATTTATAGATTGCTTTTTTGGCAACCCATGACCACCGTAGCAAGGTGTAATAATATTATCATATAGGAACAAAAGAGAGGCAAAATGTAATTGAAAACTGATTAAAAATAAATTATAAAATCCAAGGACTGGCAGGATAATAGCATTGAGTGCCTGTTGGAAACACATTCATGATGGAAGCAGCCTGACATCCCTTCTTGTCAGGGAGTTCCACAATTGATATACATATAGCTACGTATCAAGTTCTCCGTGATGGCCTCAGCCAGTCAACCTTCTGGGATGGTGGGGCACGCAACAGGGACACACAACTACATATCTCAAATTATGGGTAGGTTCACATGGCTGCAAGCAGTCTTTCAGAAAGCCTGGCTTGAAGCTGTTCAAGCCTTTATAAGGTAAAAGCAACATTGGGTTAGGAAGCAAATAGGAAGCCTGATTTGCCATTAGTAATCAAGATGTGTGTGAGAGTTCTCTAAAGTGCCCCATACGCAACAGTTTGGTTGCTGCATTTTCCACACATGGTAACTTCTGACACTACTCAAAGGCAACCTCACATAAAGTGAATTCCATCAATCTATTTGGGCTCAGTGTGGCCA